ACCAACACATAAAATGGAGTCAGCATATACTTCACTCCATAAATGCACACCTGTAATTTTCTTACATGTCTCTGGGCATGATTCTTCTTTCTGAAACTGCCTGCTCACCTGTCCGCTGGGATCATGAGATGTTGAAGTAGCAACCTTGGTTTTTCTCCTTACACCCTAGTCAAGGCTTGGAGATTTTGGATGACTTCCTCAATGTCTTTCTTTGCTCCATCCTCTTTTTGGTGGAGAAACCTGTTCTTCAATCTCTGCTACTTTTCAATTTGAATGGAATTTTACTATTTGCCTGCAGAATTTGTCTCAGCCACATTGCTCAACCTGATTTGCTGCTACAAACCAGAAATGTTTGTTCTCCAATCTTACTACTACTTGTCATTTTCACTTTGCTTCCAGGAAGAATAGCTTTAGACTGATCTGGATTTTCATGTAAAAGTGCTTACTTCTGACAATATCCAGTCCTTTCAGACCAAGAGAACACAGCATTTTAAAGTCAGAAAGCATTGGAGTGCTCTCCTGATGGAATGCAGAATGGCTTTTTGCAGGCAGGGGCAATGGAGGGTGGAAATCAGCTGCTCCAAATGGAGTTGTACTCTACATGGCCCTGATGGAGGCTGAAGGCTAGGCCATCTTCCTCAAATGCTTTGGCAGGCAATATGGTGTAAACATCCAGACATTTAGTTGAGATCCCTTTTACCACATGGAGACTTGGCACATTAGTCAAGGCATTTTCTTCTTCCTATTCATGCAGAAAAGGCAGAACTTTGTTGGCTGCTGCATGGCTACATGAAGATTAATTGCAAGGGATTTCCCCTCTTGATTTCTATATTCGGCATCTGTGTTTCATTAATTGGAAATGTGAGAAATGCATCTTGAATAAAAGTGTGGAATACTAAGAAAAGAGTGCAGCTATGGGGCTGCAAACAGCTGCTCTCACAATTGCAACTACTGTTGAACTGTCACGTGTCTGACAGCACTTGGAGTCAGCAACACTGTCACACACACATCCATTACCATGAAATGTAGGGAACACAAGGTCTGCAAGTGTGTGTTCAACTTCAAACCTCAGTGCCCAGTAGAGATTTATATCAAAAGCATCATTTGTGTCTGAACCCAAGGCAAGAAATAGATAAAAGAAAGACATGCTGCCTCCGTAATGAAAGACTGGAACAGCATGGGCTTAGGCACCTTTGGAGTTTACCTGCAGAGTCATGAAGAGGCTCCCGTGAGAAAATACCCAGAGGCAGGATTCACGGAGCCATTTCCACAGGAATACAGACATAGGATGGACAGAAAGGACAGCCTCTCCTACTAAAACTTTCAGATGCTCCATCCTCCCAGAGGCAAGAGTGCAGTGACCAGGCACAGCAAGGGAGCCGAAGAAGCAGGACAGCAGTATTCTCAGACCTCTTCAGAGTCAAAACTTGACCACCACATCCCTGAGCATCTTTTAAAATCTAGATTCAACCAGGACACACTCTGCTAAGCTCACACAGGACACTCTTCCCACCCTAAAACACTCCATGTGAATCTTGGAACACACTTTACATATTTTTCCTTTCCGGCACTGAGCAGTGTTTGCCCTACATTTCTTCTCTTTCACTGCGAACAGACGCATGTCCTCACTCTACCCATCCCCGTGTGAATGTTTTTCCGAAGCAGATGCTGCTGCTCCAGTAGCACAAGGCCTTTAACTACCAGGTACCTCAGCAGGGCTCAAGCCAGCCTCCTCTCCTCTGTCTCCAAGGCAATCAGGGCAGCTTCCACACTGGCTGTCTTCCCAAGAGCGAGCATGGCTACCTAACTGTTCGCTTGTGCAGAGAGTTCAGCATAAACTTAAAAGGATATTTTCTTGATGAATTAGCTCCTCGGCAAAATCTTCACATCACAAGAGGGAGCTGGGAGCATTTGCTGCCTGTTGTTGAAGATGAAGGTATACTCCAACATTGTGAGGAACTCAAAGTCCAACTCCTGAACATCCCTGTTCTCCAAGCCCCCTAACGTCATAAAACTGACAGAAAACTCAACTCTCTGAAAATGCTGAGAAAACTCACTTTAAACATAATTTTTCACACATGTAAGAAGCCTAGTGAGAAAGAATTTGGGGTAAACAAAACTCATTCTACAAGATCAAAAAATGACAAATGAGAATTGGTTAAGCATTTTTTTATGGTATCTTCCTTGCTTTTTTCACACCATATATGCAAAAACTCCCATAAATTTAAAATTATTATAGGCATTTCAAACAAATAAAATAACATTTTAGAAAACTCCTCTTAACCTCATTTGTCTTCAATAATTTAAGAGGGTACTTTCTAGAACCATAGTATAGTAGCTCTCTATTTTAGAGGTATGCAATTTCAAGGCAATTTTTTTGATTTCTTCAAATTACTGAAAATGCTTATTTTCCACTGCTTCAATTTGTATCTTACAGACTTCCTCCTGCTTATGACCAGTAGAAGCACAAAGGGTCATGCACTTTCTTTACTATCCAGTTAAGTAAGTTATTGTTGTTATTACCTGAATAACTCTCTGAGGAATAGCAGGCAGATAAATCATGTAAGATTTTTCCAGTCTTTTAACAGCCCCCGTTTAGAATACATACACACAGCTTTAAATGAACATTGATTACAGTATCCACCAGATGCTAAAGTAAGTTTTGTTTGCTTTTAAAGGAGTACGAAAAATATTTGTGATAAAAACCTAAACATTTTTTCTGACATTACATGAAAATAGTAAGAATCATACCTAACAGAACTGCTACAATGAAAGTAAAGCTGCCTATTAAAAAACTGACAGCCAATTGAAGCTTGTAATTTCAACCTTCATCAATTGCTTTCTTGAGTGACTCATCAAATCAGTGTTACCTAAAAAGTCAATACTGAGAAAGAGGGTAAACCAATAAATACTCCTTTCAGTCACACAATTGCTACCACTCTTGAGAACACAGTCAAGCGTTTTATTGTTTATACTCATTTTTACACATAAGAGGAACAATCAATGCAGTTCTACCACAGCAGGTGGACCATATCCTGAAACTGCTGAATATGCATAGACCTGTCTTAAGGTCCAATCAGGAGAAAAAAAAAATTTAAAAAACCAACAAAACAAAGGAAGAAAAAACTAAAAAACATAGGGGGGGAAGTAGGAAGGCAAGAAATTTCACTAACATCAGTTAATTCATGATTCATGGGTATTTATTTTGCAGGTGAAATAGCTCTTCTGAAAGAGCAAACTGCTTCACTTCTTTACAAAATACACTAAATAATGTTAAGTACTTAGAGAATTCTAAATTTCGCAGTGGTTCATGCGGTAAGGGTGTGCAACCGACACAAAATGGAAAACATGGTTACAGCATCAAACTGCTACTTCTATTCCCAGCTGGTTTATGGAAAAGGTCATTTGACTTCTTGATTTCTGCTCTTATGGAGTAAAACCAAGAAGTATTTCCTTTCTAAAGGCAACTATGAGGACAGACTACAGATATGCAGTGCAGTTGAACAGGTCTACAACTCTTGTTTCTAGAGCATTTGCATTTACTATTGTTTTGAAATACAAATATAAAACTTTTGCACACTGTTACTTCTCACACA